CAATGCTGGCATACGCGCTCAGCACGTGGATGATGTTGAGGATGGAGGACGCAGGGGCCCGGGACTCGGCCATCTGCCGGCCTGCGCGCTGCACCAGGCTCCTGACATCAGCCTTCATCTCCAGCAGCGAGGCTTCATCCCCCAGGACATCTGCAGCGGACGGGCTGGCTGCCTTCTCCCCTGTCACACGCTGCCCTTCCAGCTTCCTCTGGTCCAGCAGCGCCAGGCAGCTGGCACAGACCTCTTCTGCAGACATCCACATGGAGACGTTCTCCAGCTTCGTCTCCGCAGAGGAGGTGCTGCTGCCGCCCGCTGCTCTCTCCTCCAGGCTGACAATCCTCCACTGGATCAGGTACTCAGGCTGCCCATCATGGCCCCGCCGCTGCCGCAGCAGCTCCTCTGGGTAGGCCTGCAGTTTGGGTCCCAGGGGCACCAGCAGGTTGCCATTATGCCTCTCATTCACCATGATGGGAAGCGTGCCTGCAGAGGCAGAGGGGGAGCAGGAGCTGGGGGGAGGTGGCTGAGGGACGGGCTTTGCTGTGGCTGATCCTGTGGATCTCAGTGCTTGTAACGTGCCCGGTTAACAACTCAAACGTGCTGTTGGACTGGCTGTGCCCACGGCCGCTGGTGTAACCCCTAACACAGCCCTGGCAGAGCGAGAGCTCCCAGGGCACCCTGGCCTTGCCCGGTCTCATCTGACTGCCGCAGCCCCTACTGGGCTTCACCGGCCGGGCTGCCGGCCCTCGGGGCTCCGGAGCGAGGCCCCTTGTACAGGTTCCCTCCAGGATAACCAGGCCACGCCTGGCCCGGCCCTAGCCCCGGCCCGCCACCCTCCACCGCGGGGCCGCGTTACCTCCAACGCCCGCTCCCACGGCGCTTCCGGGTCGGCAGGCGCGCATGCGCAGTGCCCACCCGACGGGACGGGTGCCGTGCGGCGGCACCGGGCTGGGGCTGGCGCAGCGGGACGGGTGAAGCAGCGAGGGAACGGGGATCGGGAAGCAGCGAGGAGGGCACTACCGGGACCGCGAGGTGCCACCGGCTGCGCTTCCCCAGCGGGTCATCCTGGCTGCCAGCCACCGTGCTGCCTTTACCACCCAGCTGCCTGCTTGGCTTCACTGCTCCGTAAGCTGAGGGAGAGGAAAGAGCCTGGCTGCCCCGTAGCCAGGTTTGGGAGGATTGTGCAGAGCTCTGACCCCACCAAGATCCCACCACCACTACAAGCTCAAGCCAGGGCAGCCCACAGCCCCACATTCATCTCCTGGCAAGGACTGAACAAATCCCATGGGGAAAGCACCCACCCGAGGCCCTGTGCAGAAAAGGCAGCAGTAAGGCAACAGTGGTGGTGTTGGGAACGTTTTATTGGCCACCGACATCACTTCTGTGCCGCGATCCGCGGCAGGTTGACGTAGCTCTTCATGGGTGGGATAGGTTTGATCTTGCGCCCGGCCCAGCCACTTTTGCGGTGCCACAAGCCTGTGTGCGGGCGCTTGCCCAGCCAGCGGTTCCGTCCTGCCTTCCCGATCACCCGCTTGTTGTGGTCGACATTGGACACACGGCCCACTGTGGCCACGCAGGTCTCCAGCACCTAGGGGACGGGGAAGAGCTGCAGGCCTTCCTGGGAACACACACCTTTGTGCCCAGGCGGTCAGGTCAGCAATAGCATGGCTCCTCTACCTGCATTTGCCTCTTGGAAGGCAGCTGCACGATGGCGGTCCCATTCACTTTCCTCAGCAGCACCCCACAAGTCCCTGCAGCAGGCAAGAGGAGAATAGACAGCTACCCCAAGCAGCAGGACAAAGTATCCCACCCTATGGTGAGCACATCCCTGTGCTGGGAACTCCCCAGAGCCCCTGCTGTTGCCCTTCAGGGCGCACTTCTTGCTGAAGACAGAATGTCCACGCATCACCAGCCAGCAATGGGGCAGAGCTGCCCCTGCCTCTCAGGAGGGCTTGTTTTGCACTATAACACAGGGACGAAAGAGGACAGCAACTCCCTGTCACTGGCCAGACAGAGCAGTGTCCCCCTGCCATCCTCTCCATCTGCACTAAGCCAAAACTGGCTACCAGCAGCAGAGACACACCAGCTGCCCGGATGTACTGCGCTCCCTTCCCAGGGTGGCTCTCCAGGTTGCAGATCAGCGTGCCGACAGGCAGAGCCCCCAGCGGGTAGGCATCCCCTTCGTTGGCTGACACTGGAAAACAGAAGCAGATGCACTGGTTGAGGAGCAGCTGACAAGACCCTGGCAGGGCTGGGCTGTGCAACCCCCGACCCCGGTGTGCACCTGCCATCCTGCCGATGTGAGAGGAGTTCTTGATGATGTCCCCTGGCTGCATGTTCTCCGTGGCGATGATCCAGCGCTTCCGACTGCCGCCGGCCACCAGGGCTATGTCTGCCGACCTGCACAGGGACCCACGGTGGGTGGGTTGGGGAGGGGGGCTCACCACAACGAGACCGGGCCCGGGGCAGAGCCCTCACCCCGCACTCGCCTGCATGGGTCGTATCGGACGGCGATGACCTTCTCGCTGAAGGGCTGTGCCGGGGCGCCCTCCTCGTAGCGCAGCCGCTGGAAGTCGATCATTCGGTACCGTCGCTTGTGGCCCCCGCCGATGCCCCGCACGCGGATGCGGCCTGCGGGGACAGAGGAAGCGACTGCAGGCAGGAACACCCCGGCACTGCCCCGGCGAGACCCTGCCCGCCCACGACCCGCCCACCTGTGTGGTCGCGCCCGCCCGTCTTCTTCATGCCCACGGGGCGCACCGTGTACTTGACCCGGCACTTCCACATGGGGTCTCTGGTGTAGCACGGCGCGGAGCCGCTCAGCGCTCGGCACGCAGCCGCCAGCGCGGCCCCCGGCACATGGGGCACGGGGCCCGGCGGGGGGGCGCGGGGCCGGGCGGCCGACAGCAGCAGCGCCCCGAAGGCGCGGCACAACCCGGCCGCCATCGCTGTCCCCGCTGCGCCTGCGCCGGAGCGGCGCGGGGCGGGGCGGCACCGGGGGAGGCCGGCGGGGCGGGGCCGGCGGCCATGTTGGATTTAAAGGGGCTGCGCGGCTGAGGACCGGGTGCTGCTGGGCTGGGCTCACGCCCCGCCTCGGGACCGCGACCGGGACTGAGACCGCCGCCGTCATCGAGACCGAGCGCCGAGCAGGTTGGGCGGGGAGGGGTGGTGGTGGTGCTCGGGACTCTGTCGTTCTCCCGGCCGCGGGCGGTGAGGTCGGTCTCCCTGACCAGCGGGCCCGGGCCACCGACTGACCGGCACGGCGGCTGCGCGGCGCCTGTGGGGAGGGTGGTCGCCAGCCTCGGAGCGGGTTCGGCAGTCCCCACACAGGAGCTCCCCGGGGCGGCGGCGGGAGCGGAGCGGGGTATGCCGCGGAGCCGGCGGGCCGCGGTAACGCCGCCTTGTCGGGGTGAGCCCCGCGGACAGCGGGACCCTGGCGAGCCCTCTGCTCTGGCGGCACCGCCGGGTCCTGTTCTCCTTGGGCAGCGCTGGGCCTTTGCTCTGCCCTGCCACGCAGCGACGGCTGGCAGGGGCCGGCAGCCCAGAGGGAGGCGTGTGTTTATGGCAAGGGTGGGACAGCCTGACTCATAGAAACACAGGATCAACCAGGTTGGAAGTTCACCCAGTCCAACCGTTCCCCAGCACTGCCAAGGCCACCCCTAACACATAGCGCTGAGGGCCTCATCTACACGGTTTGTGAAGACTTCCAGGGACGGTGATTCCAGCACTGCCCTGGGCAGCCTGTTCCAATGCCTGACTGCCCTTTGGGGAAGGAATTGTTCCCAATATCCAACCTAAACCTCCCCTGGTGCAGCTTGAGGCCGTTTCCTCTTGTCTCATCCCTTGTGCCTTGGGAGCAGAGCCCAGCCCCCTCCTGGCTCCATCCTCCTTTCAGGCAGTTGTAGAGAGTGATAAGGGCCCCCCTGAGCCTTCTCTTCTCCAGACTGAACCCCCTCAGGTCCCTCAGTCATTCCCCATCACACTTGTGCTCCAGGCCCTTCACCAGCTCTGTTGTCCTTCTCTGGCCCTGCTCCAGCACCTCAATGCCTCTCTTGTAGTGAGGGGCCACGGCTGAACACAGGATTTGAGGTATGGCAGTTTCCAGGGTGCTGTGGACACAGAGTGAGAGATTCACTGCTCTAAAATTAGGCTGTGTCTTCACTGCCGGGAATGGCTGTCTGTGTAAGATAAATAAGGTGTGTTTGCGCTCCTGTTATACTGCTGTGAATTTTTCTTTAACCTCACTGTAGCCATGCGTACCTCTATGGCCAGCTGGGTTTGCCCTCCAGAAGTAGGGAAGGGAGAACTGTAAGATGTTGTAGTGAAGAAGTGTGTGTTGTGAGATGAGGCAAGAGAGAGCCTGTGTGTCACCATGGCTGGGTTCCCTCCTCTTCCCCCCCCCCCCCAAGAGCACCTGTGGGGAGGGTCAGGGATCCCAGTGGAGCAGTGGCTCCGGCAGATGTAGGTAGTTGGGGACAGCGTGCCTCCAGAGGCTCACAGAATGCTGTGGATTGCGCTGGGAAAGTTTTGTGTTGCTGTGCTGGCGTGGTTATAGCAACAATTCACTGACTACATTGGATGCTGCAGTGCTGCGGCATCTATGCTCTCTGTGTAAAGCATCTAGAGGTAGAACAGATGCTTCCAGGCAGTGCTGGCCCAGCTCTGCACCCTGAAGTGTTAACACGGGGATCTTGTTCTAGATCTGCCTGCTTCTGCGGGCACAGAGATAGCGATTGCACAGCTTGGCTTGAGCTTGGGATGGGGTCAGCAGTGGGGAAACTGATACCAAGCAGGATGTAAAACCTGATTGAGTGTTGGACGCACAGATACAGCCGGTGCAGGGCAGGGGTGACTGTGGCTGTTTGAGCACGAGCTGATGGTGGGGTAATGCTCCTTGGGCGGCATGCAGCAGCAGCTCAGAGGTTCTGCCCCATTCCTTGGGGCTCCTGTGGGTCCCTGAGGAGGGAGCCCTGGGCTTGGCGTGCGTGATGCTTTCTGCGCTGCCAGGAGAGCATCCCACCATCCTGTTTCTGGAGCCTGGATCTCCTCCTCCCCCCCTTCCCCCCCCCCGCCCGCTGCAGTGTGGTTGGCTGCCGAGCGCCTGGTGCCTGCGCTTCTGCTAGAGCCGGAGTGCAGCGCGGTGGGAGCCGCGCATCGCCGCAGCCTGCGCTTCCCCGCAGCGCCGGGGCCTCCGGGAGTGCCAGCGCTGGACAAGCTGCTGCAGGCAGCCAGGTACTGCTCCTCGGTGGGGTGGGGTGGGCAGGATTCCCATCTGGTGACTGAGGCAGCAGGCAGGGTGCCCAGCCGGCCTGTAACAAAGGACCACTTTGATGTGCCATTTCTGGTAGAGCTGATGAAAACTTTTCTCCTTGGGAGCCTTACAGTTAGCTGGGTGGGCACAGGGTTTCTCTGTGGGGATACTGAGGAGGGATGGGGGGGGTTTCTCCGGCTTGCTTGCTCCAAGGATAAGCAGCGGGCGTGCCTCCTGCTGCCAGACAAAGCCCGAGAAGCGATGACGGAGGCAGCTCCTGGCGTGCATCAATGGCTCTCAAACTTCCCAAACCTTGTTTCCCCCCAAACCTTCCTGCCATTAAGAAACTGCCTACTAAGCTGCTTGTAGTGGAGGTGCACCCTACTGAAGGTGGGAGCAGGGGGGAAGCAATTGCAAGTGAGCTGCTGGGAGGGAGAAGATGCGGCTGGGAGGAGGTGTTTGGGGGATGGTTCTGCAGCAGAACGCTGTGGCCAGGCAGCCGGGAGAACGTGCACAATGGTGGGAGGCAGCAGAGCATTACCAGCAGCCGCAGGCTCCCCTGCGTCCTGCAGGGCTGGCATCTGACGTGCTCCTGCGGTGCCTCACTGAGGTCTCCTCTACTGCCCTTGGTCTCCAGTGCCACCTCGGAGACGTGGAGAGCCCCTGTCTCTGCGTGAGGGGAGGTAGGGTGGTGTTCAGTATGCATCGGGTCAAAGATCTGGCCAGCTCAGACAGAGGGTAAATAAACGTGGCTGAGTGCTGCTGTAATTGGCAGAAGGCACAGGAAGTGCATGCTTGCTCATCTGCTTTTTTGGAGGAATGTTCAGGTAGGAACAGCGTTAACCCCAAATATCAAAATGGCTCTTGGGACACAAAGGGCATGTGGTGAGATTTTGCCCTTGGCGGAATTGCTGAATAAGGGCTTGATTTGCCAGGAAAGAGACATTTATCTCCTCCAAGAATTCCAGTTGTTTGGGGCAAACAGAGGTAAAACAGATCCTCTGTTTGTTGTGTGGGTAGAGTTTTGTCTCTGTGGATTTGGCTGCCTTGTCATGGTTTACACGTCCTGTTTGCTTCTGGCAATAATAGCTCAGCCCTGCAGTCAGCTGGTCGCTGGAGCTGCCCCAGGTGCTCCATGGAGGGAGTGCAGGAACTCCAGAGCCCTTCAGCTTACACTGCAGCTCGAGCACATTTGCTGGTCCCAGCTGCATCCTGACCATCTCCTGTACTTGTGAGGCACATCCAGCGCACAGCCATTGCATTAGACAGATGCCTGCAAAGGCATGGGCTCCTGGGATTTATTCTGCCTGCTTTAATACTGCCTCATGCTATGAGGGCAAGGTAATGGCTCTCCCTCTGTCTTGCAGAGAGCAAGACTCCCAATCAGATCCTGAAGCTAGGAAGAGATGCTTGTCCTGGCTTCATTCCAGCTGCTTAGCTCTTGTCTCCACTAGCCTGGAAACAGCTTTTAATGCTGTTCCACTGTAGTCTGAGGCACAGAGGATGCTTATGTCTGCAGCAGCTCACCAAATCCATTCTGCAGGAGTTAAAAAACAAGGTCTTATCAGCTGATCTGGAGGTGCTAGCATGAGCTTGTTCGCGGGGGTGGCAAACGCTGTTGTTCTGGTTGCAATGGCCTGCTAAGAGGTGCGTGTCTCCCTGGCCAGATGGGGTTGTGGACAGTATGAACTGCAATAAGGAGCAAAATGGCTTTCTGCTAATGGCACGTGTTGGTGCTGGTTTGGTTTCTTTTTAGTTCCGTAGTTTTGTTGTGGGTGTTTTAACCCCTGTTGCCTCCAATGTCTGCATTCTTTGACCACTAATAAATTGGAGGAGTAAGACCTTTTCTGGTCTTGGATGCAATGTGTGATCAGATAGAAAGCCAGACAATCTCTTCTGTCTTCTTCAGCCCACATGTTTGTTGGGATTGGATCATGCTTCGGTGACACATGAATTACTTGCTCTGGTCTATCGGAACAAATCCTGGTAGCTTTTGACTTGCCATTTCCATGTGTGGGCTGGAAAGTGGGAAGGGGGTGGGAAGGTCCCAGGTCCTTTCCGTAGTGATAGAAAACGGAGTCGCTGTGGCCAAGTGCCCATACATCCAGCTTACCACCAGCTTGCCCTAGGTTTCAGGAAGGTTATTCTACGGTATGTTTTCAGTTAGAAACTGAAGGTGGTGGGGAGCTGAAGCTTCTGGGACAGAGGAGTCTTCAGTGCTGAAGGGAAAGCATGAAGGGAGCCTCTGATCTCCTTGTGGGAGAGCTGGAAATCTAGTTCCATAGTGCTGGTTCAAAGTCCCAGGGTTCCTGCAGCCTGCTGGTTAGCATGACCATTCCCAACACAGGCCTTCCAGTGTCTTAGGAAAGCTCCTGTAGCTTCACACTTGGCTAGAGCTGGTATGTGTCAGCTGCTGCTGAAAGGAGCAGTCCTGGCCTTGAGCCCTGTCCAGGGAATGGGGAGGGCTGTGCTCTTTCCAACAGCACAGTCAACTTGTACTGCATTGTACATGACTCCAGAGCCTGGAGAAGCTTCTCTGGGCTTGGGCATAGGCTTTAAAACCACATGAGGGGGGTGTCTGGCTGCAGAGTCCAGTTTCTTGGGCATGGGAGAATGCAGGTGGGACAGCTCCTTGCCTCCAGTCCCTGCTCTGCTGCTGGAGGTGGATTCCATTGCCTCTCTTGCTCTGGGACAAGAGGGACCCTGTCCCCATGGG